AGTTCCTCCTGTTGCACGAGCTGTACAGCGCACAACCGAAGTCCTAACAGGAGTGGGTGGGTTCAGGCTTCCCCATAGAACCGCGCGTTATGACTCCCAATGAACAAGTCCTAACAATTCGCTTTCCCCGAAGGAACCGCTGCACCCAAAGGCCCATGAACCATTCACGATATTTAGCTTTTCCTTGGATTTGTTCGTCAAATAAGTCATAACAACAGTCTCTTTGCCCAAGTAACCGCTGCGTAAAGCAGTAAACAGCCAGGCTAGAACCAACAAGCAGGACCACTTGCCAGCATGCATACCGCAACTTCCGTTCTAATCTGTAGCTCCACATCCCGAAAGACCCTTCCACTTCCAGCCTCGCCAAAAGCTCTTTCAGGAGTCTCAAAAGGCGGTTTAGGGTTTCACAAGGGCTCTTTCAGGAGTCTCACAAAGGGTTTTAGGGCTCTTTTGGGAGTTTTACAAGTGTTTTAGGGTTTCATAAGGGCTCTTTTCGGCGTCTGACAAGGCGGTTCAGGGTTTCGTAAGGCTCTTTTAGGAGTCTTATAATAAGGGGTTTTGGGGTTCATAAGGGCTCCTTTAGCAGTCTTTCCAGGGACTTTAGGGTTTCATAAGAGCTCTTTCGGAGTCTTGCGGTTTCATAAGGGCTCTTTTAGGAGCCTTAGAAGGAGGTTTAGGGTTTCATGAAGGCTCTTCTACGGGTCTTACAAAAGGGGTTTAGGGTTTCATAAGGGCTCTTTTCGGAGTTTTACAAGGCGGTTTAGGATTTCACAAAAGCTTTTTCGAAGGCTTACAAGGCGGTTCAGGGTATCATGAAGGCTCTTATAGAATTTCACTTTCGGATTAGAGTGTCGTTAAGGCTCTTTTAAGAGTTTTACCTCCACCACTTCCCCTTGCCCAAATCACCCTGCTACGAAGCCTGACTACTCGTCCTGTTCCTCGCGCGGGTCTTAAGAGAACTATTTTTTCAGGCCGCTCTACTTCTTCTTCAGGTCCGCCAGAGAGACGAAGCGATTTCTGTACTCCTTTCGCCAAAACGTGTACCACGCTTGACGAGATTTGCTGCAACCGAAATCCTTGTCCATGCTCACCGAGCGAAAATGGGATGCCAAAGATGTGGACTTGGGCTTCGTATTTACGAGCCATGCAATGAAAATGTCCAGCACGCCCTCCCACTCTGCCAAATTGGTGGCACCAGCAGTCGCCTTATGGGAAGGCAGAGTCTAAACCACAAAACCGATCCACCCTGAATCTTGCACCCACATTTTAAACCCTGCACTGAAACGCGCGAATTATGAAGAAACAGTGCCTAAGAGAAGCGGAGAACCCATTGAGCCTTGAGATCTTTCTGAGGGTAAAGCTCGCAGATCACATCCTTGATTCCGGAGGCGGTGTTGAGATCGAAGATGACCTCCTTCTGGGGCTCAGCTGGCTCTGTCCCAGGTGGTGCGACAGCTTGCGGAGCAAGTGTGGCCGCCGGAGACTGCTTCTGAGCACTCGCCACAGGTTTCGGCGCCTGAGCCTGCTTTTTTGCAGGCGGACCTTCCCCGGAGCTGGCAGCTGCACCATTCGTCATCGGGTCATCTGCTTCGTCTTCTGCGAAAAGCCTTTTTTTGGTCCTCAAAGACTTCAAGAGATCTCCTACTTCTCGGCTGGCTTTGCGCTCTTCATCGTTTGCAGGCTGTGTCTGGGCAACAAAGTCAGCGTTGCTCTTCCAGCCGGATCTGCGCCCTGACCTGTGAATCTCAAACAACTCTTCATTGAAGTTCTTGTTGGGAGCAGTGCATTGTGGACAGTAGCGCTGCACAGCGGTAACCGTCTGGGTGCACTTGTCGCATTTTCCTGCATGTAAGGTGTTGGGGTTCTTAATGCTGTCATGGCTTCGACTACGCTTTTATGGAGAAGCACAGCTTCGAACAAGTGTTTCGGAGAAATACAGCTTGCACTACTTTTTTGGAGCAGCACAGCTTCGACTACGGTATCTTGGAGCAATACATGCCTCGGCTACGGTCTCTTGGGGAAATACAGCTTCGAATAGGTTTTTCTGGAAAAGCACAGTTTCGATTATCCTTACTGAGGAATAAATACAGCTTGGAATATTTTTTTTGGGAGTCCAGCCTTTGGGTGGGCTAATGGTGGCCACGATGTCCAAAGCTGCTTGATTCTTACTGCTTGGCGGGGTTACTTCTTGCGCATTTCCACGGATGCTCTTCAGCACTTCGTCGCGTCGCTCGATCAAGACTTTGTCTCTCTGCAAGGGCTTGTCAGGGTCAAAGCCGCACACATGCCATGAGACCGCCCCCCGCTTGGGTGACAACGCATCCTTGGCAATCTCCCGGTTTGCAGCGAGGGCCTGATAAACGTTCATGCTGCTCTGGTTGGACTTGGCCCAAGCATTTTTCACTTGAGCCCACTGCTGTGACCAGCATCGGTGGCAATCTTGATCGAGTGCACACAATGCTGACGTAGTATACGGCTTTAAGATGTAAGCTTTGCAGCGGTGTCTCATCAAGACCAGAACCAACTCTGCGGAGATATGGAGCCATTGGCCCCCTCCACTGTCCATCAGCAAGAGCAGCTCTGCCTGCAGGGGTGCATGCAGGGTGCGGCCAGATCACGCGCGTAAGGCTTAAAAGGCTTGGAATGGCTTGATCCACGATTAAAAAAGCTTCTGAAAGAGGAGCCACGTCCGTGTACTTGCGCATCGGCAAGAGCCAGCCTTGGCATGTCCAGGCACGCAACAGGACTTGGAATTCTAGACACTTGTTGGACAAGCAACACTTCTCCACAAACTCCGCGAAAAGCGCAGAGCTCGTGGAACCGCTGGCATTTGCGCGTATGATGGCCGTTGGCCAAGCTTTTTCCATCGCTGGATTCACCTGACGGATGCCCACGAGAGTAATATCTAGCATGCAGGTGGGATCTTGTAGTGCCAGTAAAAGGGCTCCTAGGCAATACTCAGCACTAGTATTCTGCTTTCAGGCGGGTTTTTTTCGTGCCAGTAAGGAGGTCATAAGCAATACTCAGTACTAGTATTCTGCTTTGAGGTGGGGTCTTTTCTTGTTAGTAAAAGGATCATAGCCAATACTCAGCACTATTATTCTGCTTTCAGGTGGGGTCGTTTCTTGTGAGTAAAAGAAGCACAGGTAATACTCAGCACCATTATGTTGCTATGAGGTGGGATCTTGTCCTTTAAGTAAAGAGGTCATAGGCAATAGTCAGCAGTAGTATTCTGCATTCACATCTTGTCGAGTGAGTAAAGGGATAACACTGGCTAGGCATGGGAACCCAGTCACCCTGCACACAAGGTCGAGTGCCTTCGTGAACGGCACAACAATGCCCACAGGCAGCTCAGGCAGGTCCTCCGGGACGACCATGGGCAAGAAAGACGTAAACGTTACATGTGCCCACGACATTTCTGGCGCGACCGCTTTGGCACGGCTGGCCTCCGAGGGCAGGTTTGTTTGAAAGGTCTGGATTGGGGTTGGGGCTTGTAGAATCAGAAGTCTTACAGAAGAAAGTCCAAGCCTGGCCCTTGTGCACAATCCCAGCTGTCACGTCGTCCTGCCTCTGGGAAACGCCTTTTTCATCAGTGATGGCCAAGCGATGGCATTGTGATTTCTGCAAGACTGGCACGCCGTCGACCAAGACAGCGATCCCGCTATCCAGAAGCATGGACTCTATCTCGTTGAAAGAATCGATGATGACCTTGTCGGAGACAGCCGATATGTGTTCCACTGGTTTCTGCTTCAACCGCTTCACCAAGAGCCACTCAGATTGTGGTTTGTTCTCTTTCACCCAGAGACGGAAGTTCTGCCAGAGATTGCTAGGCGCATATTTTGCACACATCGCATCTGCCTTGTCTGCAAGCTCTTCGGCAGTGTCCCAGTGGAAGCGAAGAATGCCTTCGCGAGCCATGCGAAAACACATGATAGCACGCTCCACGTCACGGATAGTGAAGGGCAGGGCGCATTGAGCGTGGAACTTCACCATTTGCAAGAGGTCCTCCTTCTCCTGCAGCGTCAAAGATGCATGAGGCTTGGCACCGCTTTTGAATGTTGGAGGGCATTCTCTTGAAAGAGGTCCTTGCTCAAGCATGGCTAGAACCGCCATCAACTTCTGACGCGTAACTCGCAGGCTCTTGCACTGCTGTTCAGCCGCAGTTGCAGTCTTGAAGTCGCCTCTCTTGACCATGAGAGCCACCTTGCAGTAAAGGAGCCAACGGCCGTCGTCATTGCCTAGGATGGCTGCGTGACTGCCTGACAGGCCAGTAAACTCTGCAACGAGCGACTTGAAGTCGTAGCTCTCGGGGATGTTCACGCTTTGTGAACACGGTGCAATCTCCGTGGGTGCACCAGTAGTTGCCGCATGTTCCTTTTGGAACGCTGCTTGCTCTGCGGTCGTAAGCCCAGCCCAGCGATTTCTGTATTCCTTCTGGCTGGCTTGAGGCCGTCCATGTGCCAACCTGTCCACATAGTGCATGTGGTACCTGGCAAAGAAGTTGGCCCAGCTCTCTCTGCTCGAGCGCTGCGGCTTGCGAGCGATTTGGGAAGCGTCCGCAGCATCAGTTTTGACGCGCAGTCTTCTCCCAGGACCTTGGGGAAAAGGCTCCTCAGGTGGAGCAGCTGGCGGCGGCAGCTGGTTGGCTGGCAAACTTTCGGGCTGGAGTCCAAGCACGTCGTCTGGTGGCAAAGCTGGAGGCGGCAAGGGAGGTGGTTCATGGCATGCATGATTCAAAGCATCGCCTGCAAACGTTACGTTGGTGATGAAAGCCCGTAAAGCCCAAAACCCTAATCCAGAAGTCAAGCTGCAGATGGCCTGGTGGCGATACGCTGAGACCTCTATGTGCCATCTCTTTGTCCACACAGTCGCGGCACCACCCGTCCAAGAAGCTAGGCTTCTGCAAGGGCCGGGAGCAATTGACGCAGAGGTGCGTACCTGGACAATTTTCATTTTTGCTTTGAGGACCCGAACGATACCCCCGAATGATACGTGTACTATACCCCTACCGATACCCCCAACCTCCCAAATCAAGACCATTGCCCTTCCCTTTCATTTGCCTCTCGTTACACATCCCAAGTTTCCAGACCCTGTTCCAGTCAGTTGTCGGCCTGGTCTGTGCGGCACGTCGCTGCCACCGGAAGCGGAAGCCTCCGAAGAGAGGAGGAGTGGAACCAGAGGGATAACTAGCAGACGTTCTTCCATGAGTACAATAGTAGTTACGAGCACTAGTAGAAGTCCTTGTAGTCGAACTAGTGCTGTGCTACTACTACTACTACTACTACGACTACTACGACTACTACTACTACTACTACTACTACTACTACTACTGTACTTCGTAGTTGTTTTCTGTTGGTTCGCTATGTTCGTGCTTGTCGGAAACAGCAAAATCCCTACAAACGATGTTG